GTTGGAGCGGAGAATACTAGGCGGTGATGACTAAATAATGACATGTACTTGTTGAGCGTAGTAACGTATCTTTATGTTTCCCTTGTCAAGTGTTTTCATTAGTTGTACTGTTTGTTTTTTGTTATGTGTATGTTTAGGTGCGCTCGTTTTGTGTTTGTGTTGTCATGTGCGCTCGTTTTGTGTTTGTGTTGTCATGTAAAAATAAAATTGTTGTTTGTGTTTGTGTTGTACTGTTAAAATAAAGTTGTTGTTCAACCGCAGTTAAAACAAAATTGTTGTTAAAATATAATTGTTGCCATTACTTACATAATGTAGTATTTTTACAAAGTACAAACAAAAGTAAATCAATGAGTCCCGCAACCTGTGTGCTTCAGTGCTGCTGCTGGCCTGAGTCGCATCCCCTGTCGCCCGGGTACACTATCGGGATCATCATCATCAAGTCGCCTCTTTATGTGAGGATGCGCAGCAGCATCGACAGTACAGCTGGCAGGATCGGTAGAAAAGGCCGTCGGGCCGTCAGCAACCTACAAAACAAGTACTAAGCTTAGCATGTGAAAAATGTATATTAGTATTGTACGTGTTAAGTCAAAGCCATTTTCTCACCATGGTCTCGTCGGCCTCGTGGTATCCTTATCAGCGCATACAGTGGCCTCCGTGATGGGCTGGGACAAAGCCTTAATAAGAAAATTAAAAATTAATTCATGGGAAATCATTAAGGAAAAGAAAACAAATTGAAATTTCACAGTAATACAAAACATACCTGCGCCTGTGGTAGATCCGCATCAACCGCCGGGGATGAGGCATAACTCAACCTGCGCCCGCCATCCACGTCCCGGGTCGGCCGATGCTCAGCTGCGGTATATGGGCCTGCAAAGAACTGGTCTACATCCCCGTCGAATGTACTCGTGATCAACAATGCTCCTGACGAGGTGTCCTGCGATGCTGGCAGAGATAGCTGAAGGTTGTACGACGGCATGCTGCTGGAAGGCTCATCTACCCGAGGGATATAACCCGGCTGATCATCTCCAAGATCCTCATCTCCAAAATCCTCACCATGTCCCTCAACAGGTGGGTCGACAGGTGCCTCAACGCTCCCTTGCTGGGGAGAACCTCCTCGCCGTCCCCCGCGACCCCGTGGGCACCCCTGCCTCGTGGGGCACCCCTTCCTCGTGCCCTAACCCTGCCTCGTGGGACAGCCCTACCCCGATGGTAGTCCTCTAGCGCCACATACTGAGCCTCGTGATCCAACCTTGCACCATCTCTCGCTTGAAACAGGGTCCGACGAGCCAGCTCTGCTACCCGCCGGCCATACTCAACGATTGCAGCACTATCGCCATGATGCTGCATCTCCTGTCCCAACTGGTAGATCAAGTGATGCCCAATAGCCTGTGAAATATTTAAAAATATTAATTAAATAACGCTATATCACAATTATAAGATATTAATAAGCCACAAAAACATACCAGTGCCTCGTGCCTCCCGGCGTATGGTCTGTAGCGCTTGCCAAGTACATGAATGGGGTTCCCGATCATCAGTCGGGTGTGACGGCGGTACCATGATGTATACAGCTGAATAGTGGCCTCCTAGGTAAATGAAGGTGGTGGCGGAATACGGTACCGTCGCTGCTCCCAAATATGGACCTGCTGCTCTAGCCATCCCATAAATATATCGTCCACCCTGGTACGGTCATCCCGCTGATAGTGTGTAGGCACCCATGCAGGCTCCCCCGGTATAGGCTGGGGACGGTGAAACTGGCGAAGCATACGCTCTGTGGCATGATACTCAACCACATCGAAGAAGATCATCGGGACGGAGGTGCTCCAAAGCAGTCGATCGACTGAGCAATAATCGGGCAGCTGAGCTAGCAACTCGTCGCTATATGGCATCCAGATGAACTACCAAATAATAACATAAAAGTGAGTATGTGCAACACAACTCAATTTATAACAAGTAAGTGTAGGTACATATTTACCTGTCCGGCCACCAGCATATCTAAGACATCCCTGATAAGGGGGAGATTATGATGAGCATCAGAGCCTCGGTAGTTCCCACGCCGGAGAACCCACCTAGTAACTAGAGGTTGAAACGGATAAGCCTCACCCGGCTCAAGTGGTGGCAGAGGTGGCTGCAACGGCATGATCCGCTACCAGGCCCAAACCTAAGATAAAAGTTCGATATAAAATTTAAGAGTCATTTCGACCATATAGAATTCGGAGTAATGAACAGAGTATTCGAAAATATTTTCACCTGTAGAAGGGCAGAAAACCACATATGTCCACCTGGCAAAGCATGCTCGCCCGGCACATACTCCGGTACAGGTATGCTAGAACAGCAGCACCCCAGCTGTACAGGGGTAAATCATCTAGCTGCTGCAGATGATGCAGAAAGCGCATACTCACTTTACTTCCCGAAGTGTTCGGGAACAAGACACCCCCCAAAAGCAGGAGCAGCGCCAACCTCGTGTACCGCTCAATATGGAGATCCTCTGTCTCGCCGGTAATGTCTGGGAGCAAAAACGCCATATGGTCTCTGATAGCTGACAAAGAAACGCGACTGCCCCCTCTCTGTACAGCGTCACCCTGAGGTCTGTAACCAGTATACTGCCCCATCAAATCCAAATACTGGGCACGCGTCATGGATCTCATGTACTAGGGCAGTGCAATGGCCCGTCCATCTACGCGCAGCCCATACAAAACCTGAACATCCTCAAGCGTGATGGTGGCCTCTCTAGTGGGCAAGTGAAAAGTGTGCGTCTCCGGTCGCCACCGCTCTACCAAGGCCGTGATGAGAGACCAATCAAGCTGTATCCGCCCAATCTGCAAAATCGTAAAGAAGCCCGTAGCCTATAGGCGCGCGACTACGCGGGCATGGAAATGATGCTGCCTCAAGAACTCCCATAAATCGTCAGGTCTCCTGGGGCGGAGAGGCTGGTCCGATAGTTGTCCATCCCATACAAAGGAGGACCTATGGTCGCTCTGCAACACTAATAGCTGATCCTCGGCTGGTCCAGGATGCGCGGGCGGCAAGTCCATGTCGTTTACTATAATTTAAACAAAATTATTTGTGTGTGTTAGTTTAATGAATTAAATAATTGTTTCCTCAGCTGGACTGAGTAATTATCTATGGGTTCCAGGCTCGATATTTGTAGCCCGGTAGCACCAAGTTATCCTTAATTATTATGTGTGTCAATTTCAACATTTTTAGAAATTTGTTAGTTTAATGAATTAAATAATTGTTTCCCCAGCTGGGCTGAGTAATTATCTATGGGTTCCAGGCTCGATATTTGAGGCCCGGTAGCACCAAGTTATCCTTAATTATTATGTGTGTCAATTTCAACATTTTTAGAATTTTGTTAGTTTAATGAATTAAATAATTATTTTTCCAGCTAGACTGAGTAATTATCTATGGGTTCCAGGCTCGATATTTGAGGCCCGGTAGCACCAAGTTATCCTTAATTATTAAATGTGTCAATTTCAACATCTTTGTTAGAAATTTGTTACTTTACTAATAAATTAAATAATGCTCATTTTATATTAATTGATTGAGACTCTGAGGTATTATCTAATGAGGTTTCCGGGCTCGATATTTGAGCCCTGAGCACAAGTGTATCCTTAATTAATTATGTGTGTCAAATTTCACATTTTTAGAATTTGTGTTAGTTTAATAAATTAAATAATTATTTTTATAATCTGGACTGAGTAATTATCTATGGGTTCCAGGCTCGTATAATTTGAGTTAATTTGACAATGTATATTAATATTGTTAGTTTTGTTAAGTTTATTTTATAATTAAATGAATTAATTGTGTAGAGTGTAATTGGAATAGATTTTGTAGTTAAGTTAATACTTATACTACAAAGACTATACGCTAAAAAGGCTCTTATATTATACTACACTAAAAGGTTCTAATTATGTTTTACGACTAGTAACGGACTGCTAGCATTTACTAAATCGTTATAAAGTCTCCATAACTTTTACTACTAGTATTATACTGAAAAGGCTCTAAGTTTTTTACTGCGCTAAAAGTGCTCTACTTTTAATATACGCTAAAAGGTCTAGATCCAATTTTACTACGGCTAAATCAGGCACTGCTTAACAATATAAAAAACAACAAACATAACATACATATGAACAACAAACTAAATAAATAATATTTATTTATTATTTAAGAAAATAAAAATATAACATTAACAATAAAAATTATTTATCAATTTTTAACTATTTTTTGTCCCAAAGCTAATAAATCAATCCGGGTATAAATAAGATACAAATTTAAACACAAACATAACACAAATTCATATGAAAACACATTCAACAAAATAAATATGCATATACTCTACGAGTTTCGACATAAACAAAATCGAAATACCTCGATTTAAGTTTTTTGAAAAAGATCCAAATCGATTTTTTGAACCCGAAAGAAGGAATCTAAGGCTTGTGCTATGTGCGGGACCTACACTCTTCGCTTTTTGGGTGACGGGTGGGGCCCAAATTTTTTTTTTTTTATAATTTCGCGGAGGGGGGGGAGGGGTGACCAGCAGTGATGGAGTTTAAAAATGGGGGAATTCACTGCCGGTATCTTAGGGAAGAAGAAGGGGCTATATTTTATTATAGCGAAACGCAATATAATACTGCGAATTGGTTGATCGCAGTATGGTACTAAGTTTTGCCAAAAAAATTATTTTTTTAATAATTGCTAACTTTCCGTTAAAGTAATTCGCAGTATAATACCGCAAAATATGTAGTTGTGTAACTTTTTTTTTTTTTTTAACAGTAGAAAGGTATTTTGCGCCAAAAGGCACTATTTAAGTTTTGGACTCTCGGTTTCACACACACACAACACGCAGACCGAAAAACAATGGAGGAATCACATTAAAAGCAGGAAACGGACGCATTAAATTGAAAGTTGAAGGGTTCAAGGCAAAAGGAATCGGGCATATTATCATAATCTCCATTACACGTGGAAGGGAGCCCACTTTCACCAAATTCCCAACTTCTCTATATACGACACGAGTATGTAATGTAATAATAATAACCTTTTCATTGACCTTTTCTCTCTCGCTCCATCTCCTGCAATCTCTTTTTTCATCTTATTCCGTTGAATCCAAGGTAAGAAAAGAAACCTCATCATCGCCATCTCCTTTCATTTGATCGTTTCTCAATAATTCCATTTGATAATTATCTGTTACCTACACCATTCATACCATCAAAGTATTTTCCTCTGATATTCATTTTCCTTACGTTTGTTCCAGAATTGGTAGTTTTATGTTTTGATTTAGTTATGTGATTATTGCTCCGCCATAGGATCATTCGTGTCCTGTAGTTAAATATGATTGAGGTGGTAGAGCTTGACATTACATTAAAATATGCATTCAATTTGGCACTATATCTGCACATAGGCGGATCCCGGATTTTAAGTAGGCGTTTAAGTAGGCGTTTGGGCATAAATATTGTAATTTTTGGAAAAAAATAGTTTTTGGAGTTTAGTTGAAAAATAGTATTTGGAATTTTAAATTATGTTTCGACACACATTTCACTTAATAAAATATTGCAGTTTTTTGAGTAGAGAAAAAGTTTTTGAAAAACTCATTTTAAAAAACAAAATCCAAATACATACAAAATTTCATGGGCAAACACGTTTTTTTTCCTTTCTAAAATCGAAAAAAAAGGAAAAAAAAAATCTATGGACAAAGGGGTCCTAAATTTGATGGGTTCAACTTTTAAAAATTCTTATACTGAGCTCATCCTACTTTTGAAATTATGGATTCAGAAGTCAATATTAGTTCAAATTTTTGTAGTTTTTCACATATATATCTATGTCCTGTGTCAAAAATACTAGGTACGTGTCAGGCTGCATCCGCCTTTGTATCTGCACCTAAAGATCCATTGTCCATTTTCTTTCATTCAGATTTACAAGGGGAAAAAATGAGCAATGATAATTGTGATGAAGCGTCTTCACAAAGGCGTGCCCCTCGTTTGAATGAGAGGATCCTGTCATCTTTGTCCAGGAGGTCTGTTGCTGCCCATCCTTGGCACGACCTCGAAATAGGTAGCTGTACAGCGCTACAGTTTTCATTATTCATAATTTCACAAATTTAGCGGCACCCATATCTGATCATTCCTTATATTTATGCTGCTTTTATTTGTAGGACCTGAAGCTCCAAGCGTTTTCAATGCTGTAAGTATAGTAAAATCATTCTGTTTATTATCTAGTCTTAATTTTGTCAAGCCTCAGAACAGATGTGCAGCTAACTGGAATCTCCAGTATAGCCTAGGCACATCTTTTTTTTGAAGTTGGAAAACCAGAATTGTAACTTACATGGAATATCTGTGTAACGTGCAATTTTCGTACCACTCATTACATGATGAAAGTAAGAACATCCTAACTAGTTGTGCAGAACGCAGACACTTGTCAGTATAGAAGTAGAAAATTGGCATTAGCGCAATTTTCTGTCCGATACGTCATTAATGTTCCAAACTCCTCAAATTCTTGATTAATTGTTTATGATAATCTTTGTCCTGCGGAGGAAATTGAGAGCCTCTTCTTCTTTAATCTTGATTATGGGGGATTTTGCTTTATTTGGACCGTTAAGTCTTTCATGTAAATAGATTAGAAAAATGAGAATACTATATTATCTCTGTCTGTATAGAAACTCTAATTTGGTGGTGCCTGTGATCTCTACAATGCATTCTTCGTACAGGTCATCGAGATAACAAAGGGAAGTAAAGTCAAATACGAGCTGGACAAGAAAACTGGTCTCATTAAGGTATGACACAATGATCTAAATTAAGGTAGCTTTAACGGATGAGGGTATTATTACCTGACAAACTTTGCTTTGGTTGAATACGTAGTTGTTTTATCTGATAGCAGCATTGATAATCTCCCTTCTAAGCCTTTTCCGGCATGAGCAGGTTGATCGTGTCCTATATTCTTCAGTGGTTTACCCTCAGAACTATGGCTTCATTCCTCGAACACTATGTGAAGATAACGACCCCATGGATGTTTTAGTCCTCATGCAGGTATGTAAACTTCACTTGGTAAATGAATGTACAATACAGGGAAACAGCAAAACATCTATTGCATTACTGACTAGCCCATTGTGAAATTCAATTAAGAAGTATTTATAGAGGACTGATTGAACAGAAATTGCCTTATTTTCCAACAGGAACCTGTCCTCCCAGGTTGTTTCCTTCGAGCTAGGGCAATTGGTCTGATGCCTATGATTGATCAGGTGCATTCCTATTTTATGCCATGGATTGAAACTAATTAGTATTACTTCCTCTTTATAGAAGTGATTTGTAATGACAAATTTTTCATCAATTAAATTCAGGGAGAGAAAGATGATAAGATCATAGCAGTGTGCGCTGATGATCCAGAATATCGCCACTACACTAATATAAACCAGCTTCCTCCTCATCGCCTGGCTGAAATTCGCCGCTTTTTTGAAGATTGTATCCTCTTAATTTAATCTTTTAATTAACTCCCACATATGAATCTGTAGAAAGTTCTCTACGAGGAATTTCCTTAACTCTGTCTTCAGACAAGAAGAATGAAAACAAAGAGGTTGCTGTTGACGAGTTTCTGCCTCCAATTACTGCTGTCGACGCCATTCAATACTCCATGTATGATATAGCTCTGTCATTTGTTTCTATATTTTTGCCATATGTTTGTTTTCATGATATTATAATGACTTGAGCAAATGTTTTATGCTTTAAGTTAAGATGCTGACCCTTGCATTATTGTTACGTTTGTGCAGGGACCTATATGCCGAATACATATTACACACCTTGAGGAAGTAATTGATTCTCCTGAGGAGCATAATAACAGAGTATCTATCTTTCGGTACAATGGGAAGTGAAGAGTGTCTTGTACGAGTCATTTAAAAGATTTACTACCTTATCGATTTCTTTTTCTTTCTTCTTTTCTTGGGGCTGTGATATTATGATTTAGCAAAGATCCTATCCCCTACTGCTCTGAAAACTAAAGTTGTACTGTTTTTATTATGTTGGCATGAATTCAGCATTGGTGTATCCCTTCCTCTGTATTTCGGAGAACTTCACTAGCTAAAATCCAGCTCCAGCTCTATTTCATAGTCTCTAACTTCGAACCCTTCAACGTTGGTGTTTGTGTTTCTCTGAACATACTTTATCTCTTACTTACTTAAAAAGAAGCTACTTACTAGTGTTATTATTACTTGAGACGGCGTTTCGAACATGTAGACCATACGAGCAGCTAAGACCCTTCTTATTTTATGCATATATATACTATATGCTGATTACCCTTAGTTGTTTACTTCTTTATATGTGAAAATTCCTCGCTCCGCCCCGGAACCATCATGTTTATACATTCTTGTTGTCTTCTAATAAATAGCCAAGTCATCTCATATCCATCTTTCTTATCAATTCAATGTAATCAAACGTGAACAAATTTATACTGAGACTATAATGTGAAGATTATACGGATTAGATAACGACAGAATTATTTAGTAGGTAAATTTTTATAGATAGATGCTAGGTTTATTCAACTAAAAAATAGGATATACGTTACATGTGTTTGGTTTTATACAAGATAAACTTAGACTTTTATTTTAAATTTTAGCATTAGACTTCTGGAAAAGGGGATTTACAGAGGGGCATCTTTGTTATTTTGTTGATATATCCCGAGATTGTCATGCCACATTAGAAGAATCAAGAAGAAATACACAATTGAAACAAATAAATCATTGTATATTACTATGCAGCCTGTGACAAATGTATCCACACTCTTTGCCACACTAGAATTCAGGGGTTGAGCCTATCAAACTATCAAGTTCATGAAAGATAATTAAGACTGAAAATAATTTTAACGGAAAAGGGCCTAAAATGCCCTTTTACTATATGAAATAGGACAGGCTAGCCCTCCGTTAAAAGTTGGTCTCTATTCTGCCTTGCCGTCAACAAATGAGCTCGTATATGCCCTCCATCACTAACGGAAGACTCATGAAGCCACGTGGAATATATGTGAGGGCAAATTAGACCTAGTTCGAATTGTACAGGGGCATATATGAGTCAGTTATAAAAGTCATTTCTCAAACACTTCACAACTCCATACCAGTTTACTTAGACACCTATTTGACAACACTAAACTAATTATCATAGCAAATAAAAACTCAGTCATAGACACAACAAATGAACGGCAATGACTTTATTAAATCCTTGTATAAAAACATAAAGCTTCATTACATAATAAAAGACAACAATTAAGCCACAATAACACTAACATTACATATCATTTCGCAATGATCCAAAGAACATAACAAGACATCCCAATATCACACACATGAAAATTCACATCTTCTTCCGAAGTTTAGAATCAAGCACAACTGAGTACTCTAAATCATTCATTTTCTTCATTAGAACATTTCTTTCCAATTCCAAGGCTTCTATTCCTCCATGATCGACGAGCATCATAACACTCTCAAGATCAAATTTTCCTTTGGAGAGCATTTCTTTCACGGATTAGAGCTTCCTTCTCTTTCTTTAAAGTGCATATGAGATTTGAAACTCTAGGAGGAAGCTCTTCATCTTGCCATTCCCAATAGGAATATTTTTCATCCTAAAAATCAAAAATAAATAAAACAAATTTACAAGCAAATCGAAATAATTAAAAGAACCCATCAAAAAATTTACTTACCTCATGCTTCGGGCACTTGAAAACCCTTATCCTAGCATTTAAACGTTCCCATGCCATGAAATAATTGGCAGTAAGTTTGTAATGACACCTCCTATTCGACCCATTTGAGCTACTAGAACATTCCGACATTGTTATTTGTTGTCTTTTGTTATGATTCGACCCCTTTGAGCTACTAGGATTTAATGAAGTCATTGTTGTTCATTTGAATGTTTTTATCTATGACTTAGTTTATTTGCTGTGATAATTAGTTTGGTGTTGTCAAATAGGTGTCAAAGTAAACTGATAAGGGTGGTGAAGTGTTTGAGAAATGACTATTATAACTGACTCATATATGCCCTTGTACAATTCGAACTAGGTCTAACTTGCCCTCACATATATTCCACGTGGCTTTATGAGTCTTCCGTTAGTGATGGAGGTCATATATGAGCCAATTTGTTGACGGCAATGCCATAATAGAGACCAACTTTTAACGGAGGGCTAACATGTCCTATTTCATAAAGTAAAAGGGCATTTTAGGCCCTTTTCCGTAATTTTAAATGTGCTCTGAATAAACGATGATGTCAAGTTCAAGAGGTCCCGAGGTATTCTGCCTTTTAAAATACTTTACAATGTTACTCGTTTCATTACCTTAAAGAATTAAGAGAGTATCCTCAAATTTCTCTTCACACACAAGGTTATCAAGCGCTCAATGCACAAAAAACGTCTTACCGCTAATACTGTTCTCGTAATTGATCTTAAGGTGTATGAAAACATTCACTTGTAATATCGTTAATAACAATAAGAAATGGGAAAGATATTAAAGTATACAATCGTGAAATAAATATACTCAAAAAAAATTCGCAACAAAACCTCAGGATCTGCTCAGCTACTGTTTCAGCGTTGACTAAAGAGCGCTTTGCTAATTATATCAGTGGCCTCAATATATCGATCAACACACCTGGAGATACAACTACCCTCACTGCCACTCAGACTACTCCCTGGTTTTGTAATGCACTTGTCAAAGCATTTCTCCCTCACTGTCTGAAACATTCAAAAAGAGCAGTGTAAGAGAACACACCAAAAAGGCATTTAGACAGCAGTAACACTAAAACTTGCACTGGAAATAGAAATCAGAAGTTTCATCATGTTGTTTTCCAGAAAAACAATTCAAATAATTCTTAAATATATTTAGAATTTTCATATGATACATTAATAGCATCTAGATGTCCTCATTTATCACATTGTCAGAAGCACAACTGTATCATGAAAACCAAATAAATCTGCTCATAGCAGCAGTAATTAAATAATATCGTGATCAGACAGAGAGAGAAATAATAAATCAGTGGCATAAAAAAAATTCATCGAGCTAAGCGGGATCATGCTCATTAGTAAAATACTGAGGTTACGTCCACAACCACACCCACATAACCTCATTAATCAATTGGCAGTTGCTGAACCATACTAGTTCACAATACCAAAAGAATAACAGAGAATCAACATAGAGCACAATGGTGAAAAACAAACATGGATGGCTTCACAAAAGGAGGGATTTAAGGTAGGACTAGAACAGCAGTTATTCGATGTTTCCATTTGTAACTCCCCAACGTACCTTCTTAAGAAAAATCCTAACCAACATGGTGGTTCCAAAGTTGATTAATCAAGAGAAACTATTCTTCTGTGCTAACCTAATGAAAGGAACATCAGAGGGAGTAAGATGGGTCAAGAATTAGACATGCATAACTTCCGTTATTTTTATTCAGCTGACGAGCAAAGACAAGATGATACTAAGACATCATAGTTTACATTTGGTTTATGCTAAGAAAAAAATACTTTTTCAGAAAATATGTGTGGGAGGGAGAGACTCCCAAGATAACATACTTTCCTAAGTCTCCAAAGTTCACTACTTTTTATCCGTATTAACTATGGGTCGGGTCGGATATTTATCCGTTTTTTGCATTACCCGTTTTCAACCCGCTCATATCCGACCCGACTTGCCCGTTTGCCACCCCTAATCCATCTAGTTATACTAACAACATTATTCATGTGAAAAACAAACTGATTGCTGCGAATAGATGAATCAACTTAGGCAAATAACAACAATGAGTACCTCAAATGGCCTTAAATTCATCCATCAACTATTAAAAGTCGATGGATCAACCAAGCCAATTCGAGGGACACACTAACAACGTTAAATATAAATAAATACAACAACAAAACACAACAACATACCCAATATATTCCCAACAGGTGGGGTTTGGGGAGGGTAGTCTGTACGCAGACCTTACCGCTACCTAATGAAGGTAGAGAGGCTATTTTCAATAGACCCTCGGCTCGGAAAGAAGAAAATATAAAGAAATACTATAGATAAAATATTTAATACATAAACACAAGACATTAACTAATTTAAATTTAAATAAAGATAAGATAAAATTAATGATATGTTAACTATAATCTAACTATAATTGAACTATATAATAACACAAGATATTTCCTTACGAAATAAATAATTACACAACATATTAACTATATGATAACAAATTACTTTTGATTTCAAAAAATTGGGAAATTAAGTTTTTGATATAACTATATAATAAGATAAAGCATTAACTAACTTATACGAAGATATATATGATTTGTTAAATGATAACTACAAATTAGCTAATTACCCACATTAATAATATTAAATAGCTAAGCCCTACACCTTAAACCCATTATCATATAATTACTCCCTCTGTTTCAAAAAGATTGATATTTCATTATTAGTCCATTTTAAAAAGATTGTCATCTTTTAATATTTCCTTAATAGGAAGCATTTATAGCCACATAAATACTATGGCCGGTTTCAAACACAAGTTTCAAAAGTTTTACTGCCACACAAATGTTATGGCTTATTGAAAATGATCCATTCTCTACAAAGGAGTATAATGGGCTAAAACTTTTCTTCGTAGCATTTTCTATACCAACTTTCTCGAGAAATAATTGCATGTTTTATTATTAAACATGTTAAAGCACTTAACTTTTATCTAGAATAGACTGATTTGACTTCAATGAGTTTTTTTAGTCAATGGATTTTGGTCTTTTGAAGCTTTAATTTACAAGCCTATTTTAAAATATAAAAATATAGAATGTGTTATTCAACCAAACTTTTACGGCCAAAATTTGAGCAAACTGTGCAAAAAATCTAATATGCCATTATTTTACTTTTGCTCCAATAACTACTATTTTCTCTCCACTTGTTTCCCTTCAAACAATGTAGTTATTACTTCTAACCATGCTTAACAATTTTACATTGCCATCACCTAGAGCTTAACAAAAACATTTCATGCGTCGCCCGCTTTAGATTCTATCCAAAAACGTTGTGTACATCTCTTATAATATTGTATACATGATACCTATACATACTAGAACTATGTGATGAACCAAAGAATATATGGTTTACCAAATAAAAAATTTGCTAAAACTATAAGGTCAACCATCAATTATAGGATTAACTATTTCTAAGTTCACCATATAGATCTAGAAGGTGTAAACATAATGTATAGAACGTTTTGGAGAGAAACCAAAGTGGGGGGAAGCATGAAGATTTTTTGTTCAGCTCTAATTGTTGGTCGATCGTATTTATCGTTCATGCTTTTCCTCACTTTGAGTTCCCTCAAAAACGTTCTATAGATTTTTTATGACATTGTACATAGTATATTTACACCTACTAAAACTATACCGCAAACCTAAAAATATACTATCAAATAAAAAATTTCTAGAACTATAAGGTCAACCAAACCAAGTACCGGATGAAATATTTCTAGGTTCACCGGAGCTTTAGTAGGTGTAGGTATAATACATAACATTTCGGAGAAACCAAATTAGAAGAAAGCATAAAGATTATAGTTTGGCTCTACGTGTTGGGGATGTAAAATTGCTAAGCATGCTTAGAAGTAATAATTACATTTTAAAGGAAAAATTAATTGGAGGGAAAAGAGTAGCTTTTGGAACCAAAGTAAAATAAGGACATATTAAACTTTTTACATTATTTGTCTAAATTCTTGCCATGAAAGTTTAGTGGAATAGCATTTCTATTATTATTTTGATAATAGCACTTCCCTTTTTTATGACTTAAAACAGGCTTAAGTAAATCAGATATCATTTATCATCCATGAAAGCTCAAAAATCTATTGACAGAAAGAAACCTACTTAATGTCAAATCAATTAAAAGATGCGGAAGCAATGATTGGAATCTATTCTAGAGAAAAGAAGAAATGCTAAGTGCTTTAGCAGGTGTAGTAATAAACTCATTGATTATTAAATGTCAACGAATTCCCTTTATAAGGTTTCTAAAACCAATCAAAGGACAGAAATTCTAGATCTAATTTTTTTGAGAGGGAAGAAATTCTAGATCTAATAGAAAGCATTGCACTGCAATACTGAACAAATTTATTTATTTGAGATGCAAAGCTCTAAAAACCAGTCCGAAAGGTTGTCAAAAAGATTACTACATCATCTTATTGATTATTCAAACTATATGTATACTATTTCTGCGATACATGGTTAACCAGGAATAATAAGCATTAACTGAATACATTCAATATAAATTACTTTGCAATATATAATTCGCCTTTTTTTGTTCAAATTAGTTTGGATAGCCTATTTTTTGTTGTTTTCGCAATTTTGCCCTATTTAGATTAAGAATTCCCTAATTGTCATGATCGGTAATGCCTATACTATTGGTTGTCATTACCTTATTCTATTTCCGAACCCCTCTGCAGAAAATCATAGATGTCACTGCTTCTCCGTGCAGATTGCAACCACAAATGAATCATGAAAAATAGATATATTTCTAGAACATTTAAGTTTGACAACTAACTTATAGCCAATAACCGAGCAATAATCAGCAGGTTTTTCATCGTTTACAAGCCAAAGAACAGTAAAACACGAATCAACGCCAAAACCTATAGGGAGATGAAAAAGACAGAGAGATGAAATAATACCTCGAGAAATTGCTCAGCGTAGGCCTGGGCAAGCTGAGTTTTAAGCTGGTCCATCAAATCACTGTTTGACGAAGATCCAATGGACGGTGCCGAAAAAGAATCCATATCTTCTCAGTCGTTATCGCCTTAAGATTGTAAAACCCTAGATGGTACTGTCTGTGGTGCCCTGAAACTTGAAAGGCTATAAAACCTTTCCCAACCAGCGCCGTCGCTTTCTTTGTCGAGAATTACGGAGGAGTACTACTTTTTTTTCTTTAAAGGCAAAATGGCCTCCGAGCCCCTAAACTTGCACCCACTTATCGCCCGATAAATAAACTTATAATTTTCTTATTCTAACACCTCTGCTTGAGAAAGTGACTACTAATAATCACTTGGTATTTAACGTGTTCGTCAATTGCTCTGACACAAATGCCATGTCACATGCTTTATCTTTATTATATGACATGTGGAATTTTTGGGTCCGGCATTTTGAAAAATAAAAATTAATTTATCATATTTTAAGTTATTTTTCTCTTTTTTTCTCCATCGTGACTCTGTAGAGCCATCAAAATGGGCTTGGCCTGTGAGCCAGCCCAACCAGCCCGCTACTTGGATAGGATTGGGCTAAAATTTTTCAAGCCCGCTTGAAAAATGAGGCTTAC